TGTCGACATTTGAAAAAGTTGCAAACGAATTTCCGAAAATAGTGTTTAGTTCATCTAATAACTGGTAGTTATCATCTGTACATAGCCAAACAAGCCGAAATTTAGGAGATAATGACATCCGGGGCAAACATTTAGGCTGTGTATTTTTGGCATCCGGTGAATCAAACGACGTGTTAACAAGTGATGATTCTTTTGTTGTGAGACCAACAAGCCGCGGAGAATCAATTGATTCTTCTTCTCTGGATTGAATAACGGTAGCACCTTCGCGTACATTCATTTCCCTATTAATAACTTCTGGCATAAAGCCTAGGTCAGCTTGGGTCGACGAATTTTCAAGAGTATTTTTATCGGATGTAGTAATGTCATCAGCATCCGCTAACGTAGATGAGTTCTGTGAGACATCTGTACCCAAAGCGAAAGGCGGTATTAGCAGTTGAACAGGCGGCTCTTTTTCTTGCAAATGAACAACATGCAGGCCTTCTGCTAAATTAATTTCACTAACAACTTCCAAATACGTACCTGGCATCAACAATATTTCATCTTCATTCTTGAAATATGAATGAGTTCGAATCGATTTTCCGTTTTCACAATCAATAGAAAACAGAGTACGAACACCTGCGTTTCCAATGTACGAAGGTGATCCAAGAACTTTAATTCTGTTCGTACAAGATGATAGTGCCCACCACGTGCGAAAACTACCTTCAGCATATTCTTGACTTAAATCAGCACTTACACCCCTCCAAACCGTTGCTTTCACCGACGGTAGTTTGAATAGAGCTGTCAACAATAATTTCAAATATCCAAACCATGGAATGAGTCGCCGACGATCAATCTCACGTAATGCACAATTGAGCAAATAATATAAACTGTTTTTCTGTCCGCTCCCTTCCATTGTATATAAGTGAATAGCAGCTGATTCATCAGGAGTGAGACCATCCGAACCATGTTTCGAGTTTGCCATAGCAACCCACATGTATGCTGTTAGTTCAGGAACGATGTTGAGAAGGGGCTTAACAGCTCCTTTTAATGACATTAGTGGTTCCCTTTCATAGCCCGAGATGGGTGCCAACATTTGTTTAGGTTCGTTTCCAATATCATCCAAAAAGCGTGGATTCACTTCCTTAACAGCAACGCTGTCCGATGACATTGTTTTTTATACTTTCTGATGAATACTTAAGACCCGTAGTTTACTCTAAATAGAGACAAGACGATAGAGACTAAATAAAATTTGGTTTTATTTCCTCCTCTTTTTTAAAGTTGTTTACTTTTCAAATTCACTGTAACATCTTTTTGTCTTGAAAATGAACTGTGTACAGCTCGAAATGCTAACTGTATTTTAAACAATGAAGAATATATTTAAAGCTGCTGTGAATCTCTTAATGTATGACTGGTGTAGCAGATAAAGCCAGGCCGGGTCAAGTGCGAAGCGTCTAATTAAAGTTCACGGAAAAAACTAGATGATATATCCGCCTCCACTGGGTTGGGACGTTAGTCAGCTATGGGACAGGCATTCAAAGACTTAACCACCATCGTGCTATATATAATCCCTTTGCCTTTTCAAATTGAAATTTCCGGCTGAGTTACTAAAAACATATGTTTGAGCTAGACCAGCTCATAAAATACACGTCAGCATCCTGTGTGTTAATGTGTTAGCCAGTCTGTATAGCATTGCAACAAGAATAGTACAATAATAAACTTACTTAAAAAGCGTTTTGATTAATCCGTTTGACGCACGTTTATTTCGGTAAAAAATCCAATATTACTTCTTCTGTTTTTTCTTCAACTATATTTCTTGCCAACAGTTGAAGGATCATCGATTGTTTTTCTACCTTATAAAAATCATGACAGAATGGAAAAGAAGAAGAATGAATAGATTGTAATTTAATGCATTATGTGTCACTGAATAAATGGTAACCGGGAACTACATGCAAAACAAAGTGCATCTGGCAGCTGGCATAGAGGAAATACCATTTATTCAGTGACACATAATGTTTTAAGGTAGACAAACACATAATTTTTTGTAGATAAACACATAATTTTTATAAGGTAGAAAAACAATCTATGATCCTTTAGCTGTTGGCAAGAAATATAGTTGAAGAAAAAACAAAAGAAGTAATATTGGATTTTTTACCGAAATAAACGTGCGTCAAACGGATTAATCAAAACGCTTTTTAGGTAAGTTTATTAAAGAGCGCGTGAAGTTCTATATATTTCGATGAAGAAAAGTTATGCTACACCTCGGGTCTTAAGATAGAGACGAAATACAAAGTGCGCCATTATTTCAGTAAATAAATATATAATCAGTAAATTTTATTTAAATTGTACAGGTTTTACACTGTTTTTTTAGAAAGACTTGAACTACTATAAGAAATTTCGCTGTTACCATGACATTAAAGAAAACATTGAAAACATAGTTTTTTTGTCTCTTTTGTGATTAAAAGCCCACTTCATACGTTGTTCAGCTCAGAAACCAAAACCTGTACCGTATTATTGATGATAATTACTGTTGAAACGGCCAACCAGGAGGAGGAGTGGACGAAGCTGTAGGTGTACCCAGAAAAGGTAAGACTTGAGAAGGTATACCATCATATGGAGAGTAACCACCACTAGGAAAAGAAATCGGACTTATACCACTGAAGCCGCTTGATGGACTACGAAAACTGCCAGGAGAATTAGATTCTGAGAGGAAACGATATGGTTGGGGTGGCATATATACAAATGGAGGACTTCCACTGCTAAGTTGACTAAAATTAGCAGGAAGAATATTACCAACAGGACTGTTCGCTGGTTGACTAAAACTGTCAGGATAGTCGGGCATATAAGGAACCACACCAATATTACCACCACTATTGCCACCACAATAAACAGAAGGAGGAGCAGAAAAATGAGGACGTGCGTATTGCATCTTGTTTGTTTTGCTTATTTGATGCTGATAATATATCTAAGACAAAGATAAAGTTTACATAAAAAAGGTTACGGCAATGAATGTTTTGTGTTGAATCTGAGTAGATTTAGAGATGTCGGCTTATGCCAATGTAGATCTGCAGTGACAGAACAAATAAACATACTACGTAAATTTTGTTTGTTACTTTCTTATTGACAAAGCTGTTTTCCTAAAATAAATGGAAATCTGATGTTATTCCACTTAAGGGCCCACCCCCCTCATAAATGACGATTCTCGGATTTTGAGATAAGCACATACAAAGATAGCCTGGAGTGTCTACTTTCAAAATACGTATGATTTGATACCATATTAATGGCTTTTAAGAGGGTTTTCGGAGGTTTTCCGGAGACCCTCTGTGCAAAAACTTACTATTTTATTTCGAACTGACGCACTGATGCTATGAAAGTGATTTTTGTACAAAACGAATACCTAATGATGCTGAGTACAATGCATGGGTGAACAAGCTAAGAGAATCCTCAGAAGAGTTTCCTGAAACAGGTTTTCTAGAAGATCTTTGAAACAAATTTCGAATAGGATTGTATTCCTCTTTTCTCATGGACTGAGAGCCCGAGATGTCCTCTTGAAGACAGGAGTCAAACGACATCTTGATTTTCCACGGCTTGGGCGCTCTATCGGATTTCCTACCAGTCCCAGGACTGGCACCTGGTGACTATTGATAACCTTGAAAACGAATGGACTATGGGTAATTAATCATGCTGAGTCTCGTGACAATATTTGCTTTTAGAAAAAGTTCTCAGAAACTATAGAAAAAGGAGTTTTACGAAAATTGGGGTTTTCAGGCTGTTTTCACTTAATATTTAAAAATTCACTGTTCGCTCAAAATACATCAGAACTAGTTCAAAACTTCAGGATATGGTCAATTCTGTCCGCTAAACGTGATTATAAGATCGAAAAATCGAAAAAGCATATTTTTGTTAATGGGTTTTCCAGAAAACCTTTCGAGAAACCTTAGAGTTCTGTAAAATCTCTTTCTAGATATCCGGTGAATTGGACATAGAACAGCCTAAATACTTTACATTCTGAAGTTTTGAACTAGTTCTGATGTATTTTGAGCGAACAGTGAATTTTTAAATATTAAGTGAAAACAGCCTGAAAACCCCAATTTTCGTAAAACTCCCTTTTCGCTAGTTTCTAAGAACTTTTTCTAAAAGCGAATATTGCCACGAGACTCAGCATGATTGATTACCCATAGTCCATACGTTTTCAAGGCTACCAATAGTCACCAGGTGCTAGTTCTGGGACTCGTAGGAAATCCGATATAGCGCCCAAGCCGCGGAAAATCAAGGTGTCGTTTGACTCCCGTCTTCAAGAGGACATCTCGGGCTAGCAGTCCATGAGAAAAAATCAATACAATCCTATTCGAAATCTTTTACACATGACCTGGTTTTCCAAAGATCTCCTAGAAAATCTGTTTCGGGAAACTCTTCTGAGGACTCTCTATGCTTGTTCACCCATGCATTGTACTCAGCATCATTAGGTATTCGTTTTGTACAAAAATCACTTTCATCAGTGCGTCAGTTCGAAATAAAATAGTAAGTTTTTGTACAGGGGGTCTCTTAAGTTGTCCAGATATTCTTTTCGAGCCTTTGAGGTTGATCTTGTCAGTTATCAGTTAAACATGAAAGAACATGTTCGTACATACAGTTTGATAGAGCTTTGAATGCTAGTTTCATGTCACCTATTTTGGCACTGACGAAACTTTTTTGAGCACTGGAAAAGTTCAAAATATTTTCTTTAGAAACTTTGAGCCCATCAGCCACCAATGCTAATATCATCGGCCATAACTAACCAGAGGAAGGCATGAATGTAAGGTGTGTTATGTAATATGTGAGAAACAAATGAAGTATTACGCTGATTAAATATCGCATAATTTAAACCGAAAAACACGACCAAACACTTAGTTACGCAGTATCTGCACTTGACATCGTCGAAGTTGATAGTCGAAAATCTCACCCAATCTGACAAACAGTTCAAACTCGTATAAATAAACACGAAAGAAACAAATGATACAGGCGAAGCTGATTGGCATAGGCAAAATTTTGTGTACCATAAGCACGTGTGAAATGTTTAGACGTAAAGAACCGTTTGTGGTAAAATTTTGAATGAGTTGGTTAAGTAGAACGGTTTTTATGAGCAAAATAGATGTCGTGACGGAATTACATTTTTCAGCCATTTTTTTTAAGTGCTCTACAAACTTTGAAAAATGCTCTATGAGACATATTCAGAAAAAAAGTCTAATATAAAAGTTGTAGAGCATGAAAAAACGCTTCGAATCATCTCTTTACTTTCACTTAAAAATGCTTAAATGGAAAGAAACAAATGAAATGCCTGCGTGAAGGAATTACATGTCGTGATGGAATTACATCATGTTTTGTCTTTCTTTTGTAGTGGGTTTTATTGTTATATTTCTACCGGTAAAAAGACTTCTATAGATTTGATTTGCACGGGGTCTCATGCAATTGCATGCCCTCTATCGAATTAAGAAAAAAAATGGCGGGAGAAATGTTTTTGATTTCCATACAAATGCTTCGAAAAAAGTACCATTTTGAATTCGGCAAAAACTTGTTTAGTATGTAAAATGCATTTTTTAAGATTGTTTTGACAAAGTCAATAGTGCATTTTGTAGAGAATTTAAGTCTTTATCCACTGATATACTTTTTGAAATCTTTTAAAAAGGTGAATAGGTCAGAAAATTGAAATAAAAAACTTCTAAAGTTTAAATTTAAAAATTTGAGTTTCGTTCGTTTTAAAGTTGATATTCGTAATCAGCGCAAAAAAACTGCGTCTAGTAATGTACTTTTAAGGCTGCTTGAGAGAAAATAGATCGCTCGCCCCACCTCAGCTGAGGGTGACAGTTACGCGTTTTAGCCGCACTTCATATGCCGGAAAGAAACTTGTTTTATTCCTAATAATTTCTGTTGCGCATCAGTGTGGAAGCATACCTTATCAGGATATAAGTTCTCTTCTCTACTCTATGTAGTATTTTCTGCAGCCAATAACAGAAATGCACCATTGCTAGTGTATCTAGAAACTAAATTCATTTATAAAATGCATCGAAAACGAAACAAAAACATATAGGAAATAAATATCTAAGCTCCATTAATTTCTTTCAAAGTCGCCTGCAGAACACTCTTTGGTACATGTACATTTTCTAATAAAACTGAATACCGATAATCACGATTTGGATCTTTTATAACTTCTTTTACTACAAACATTGTTCCTAGTACATCCGCATAGTAAACGTTCCTTAATCTAAAGAGTCTAGTGTATTCGAATATGGCTTTTATTGCTACAACGTTAATTCCGTTTATTATTCACGTATCACAAGTTCTCAACAGACAGTATTTCCACACAGTCGTCGTATGATGTGCTGGTTCCACATGATTTAAAAATGCCAACTACATCGCAATTTAGTCACAAAAGAACAGTGGGTAAGTATTCTTTCTGTTTAGTCATTGGATAACATTTCGAACATGGTGGCGAATGTGGTTTTGTGTTAATGACATGAGATACTTCCGTTTTTGCAACTGTGATTTTGGATGTATCAAATAAATGACTATAATCTTGAAGAAAGTCCTTGAATCTTTGTCGATGTTCAATATTTTCTATCTTATTTACCATATTGTCCCGATGTTCTTGTAGAGTCATTTTCTCTGGTTTAATTTTACTTTCCACTCGCTGTTGAGTTGGTAATGTTGATACTCCAAGAATTATACCTTTCCTCAAAAAGCATGGATAGCTTGTTGGATTGTGAATCGGGATTTCAGTTTGATGTCCCTTAATGAGCAACAGATTATTAGCTTAGCTTTAATATGCAAATCTACCATGCCAAGAACCTTTAAATTGGATGCTCCGTCTGCCATGGCTAATATCGGGTTTGTCGTACTACTTCTGGTGTTTTGTTTTTCTTAATGCATTTTCTGTGATAATTGTATTTGTTGCTCCAGTGTCTATCATTACCATTTCTCTTGTTGTTGACGTTTACTGAGACGAAAATTAATGATGGATTATTGTGGATATCGCTATTGGAGACAGCAAAGGAATGTACGTAATCCAATTAGACTGGACTACCTTAAACTGTTCAAATACACTAATAACTGAAATTAGCCATGAATTTGGATCTTCATTATATCCAGAAAATTTATTAAGATTTTTAAAATCATCTGCTGAAAATCTTTGTCGGTCTGATCTAAGTTGTATCTCCCAAATGATTCTGTTTTTGTTGCCCCTATGGCCACTATGGCTGTTCATTTTGGCGCCATACTGTATAGAAACCAAACATTCTCAAAAAATTTTGAAAACACCATTAGATGACTGTGACTCTCATTTCACGTGTTATCTTCTCTCCAGCAACTTTACAACTTCCATTCTCTACTGAAAATAAGTTAATAATAAGCTAATGTGGGTGACTGGCTTAATTAATAGCATCAAAAGAAGATCAAAGATGTTCTTTATGATTCAATCATAAAAAACCATCTTTACTAAGATGCCGGAAATTCGAAAGGTACACACAAAAATAGATTTTCCTTAAACATACATGGTTGGATAGCCCGTGAAACGTAGATTCCGAGTATTACCTTTCCATTCACTTTTGATCAAGTTTTGGGGGAGAAATCTTCAAAATACTGAATACCACTTGAAAAGTGAGATTTTGACACTTTCGAAGTAAACTTCAAATTTGACCCAGTTACATAGGTTCTCGTTTTCTCAAACACACATATTCGCATTCAGCAGCTCAACAGGAGTCTAGCCATGTAAGTCCGAGAGTATTTTATCTATTCTAGCGCCTGAGTCAGATGGCCTAAGTCCGTCCATGGCCGTTCTGAGACCTCTGTGCGCCAGACCTGAATGAGGTGAAGAATGAGGTTATTCTGCTATAAGATAGACGTTAGATTGAAATTCTAGTATGGTGCTTCAGCGTAGCTTTCGAGAATCTCCTCCACTGGAATAAAAGTAAGAAATAAACAAATTTTAAAAAAATTATTTAAGGAATTGTTTAAAGTCAAGTGTAAAATTTCATAAAAAAGCATTTCAGTTATGTACTTTTGGCGCAAAAAGAGCATTGACCGGATACTCACTGCATAACACGATTACTATCGTTAAGTTGAACTCTACTGATCATCTTAATATTTGTTGTAGATCATGTGGAAAATGACAATCAAATGTTCGAAAATTATCCAATACCTGCAACCGAGAATCGATATAGAATTCAATATACAAATACACAATTACGTCATCAACTTTATCGTTCGATACTTAATGATTCCGTTTTAAAAGAAATAATTAGAAAATCAAGCCATTCTTTAATTCATACTTATGCCAATGATTCAATTGGTATATATTGTTGTATAAATGAGACTAATAACAACGTCAACGATCATAACGCTATTAAAAATCATGAAGATACCATTGAATTTATTTCACAATGGTTACAATTATTTGAACAAAATGATCCTGTTAAACTAGTCGACAAAAACGAAAAACAAATATGGTTAATATCGCATGTTTATACATCCGTTGAATATAATAGAAACCATTTGAAATCATTGTATGCTGCTTGTCGAACACTTGATCAATTGAGAACAACAAATTATAAAACACATTTACGTGATGAATTAAAGAATAATAACATGAATCGTATAGAATTTGAAGAGAAAATTTTTTGTGAAATGTTTAGTTCTTTATGGAAGGTGTTAGATGAATTATGTAATAAGCATAAAAGTGATCAAGATCTTTTAGCGTGGATACAAATTTATACATTTATATCCTGTCATTATCCGTCTGAAAAGGTACTACATACAACTGAATTACTTAAAATTAAAAGAGAAATTGGATTAATGCATTTATGCTATATTATAAGTCTAAATGAAAACATATCATCATTAATTGAATTATTACATAAGATTATCAATAATGATTTATTCAATGATGGTTGCCTAAATGGAATAAAAAATATAATAGATTTGATTTGTCAACATCAACAACAATCAAAGACATCTACACACGATTCTAGTAAACTCTTATTCGATATTATACAATGGCTATTGTCATTATTAGAAATTAAAACATTGTCAAGAGCAGAAAATGTTGTGATTGAAACTGAGACTTTACTTAAATTTATCAATCAATCAACAGTACAATTTTCTGTTAAGCAATATATTTTTGATCAAATTTCAATTTTAACTGTGAAAAAAAACTTTAATACGATCGCTCATTGATCGAAAAACATTGAACTACAATTCTATAGATATCCTCGATATAATGAGAATAATGTTACCAATTATTGTCAAATGTCTTTCTCTAACGCCATGCACAGATACTGAATTGAAAAATTTGCAATTTGTACCGTCATATCATCCATCAATCATTTCACCATTTAATCAACTTGAATTTACATTATCACCCTTAGTACAAAATTGTTCCGTTTTTCCAAAATTACATGAACCATATGAAAAATTGAAAGAATTATTTCATCAGTATGTAAATAATACAAATAATAATATTCAATGGAAACCAGTAATTGATTGGTGCAATGAACAATTACAAGAAAATCGATTGTTACCAAACGAAATAAAAATGTTATTATTTTTAACCATATATTATAATTCAGTATTGGATAAAATTAATTTTGATCAAATGATTCCAGCATTAAATTTTTTACCAGAAGAAATACGTGTATTCAAAGCAGTACTTATGCCAGAAGATTTTATGATTGGTTATAGAGAGTCGGAAAAGAACGCATTAAACAATTTATTTCAAACATCGAACAATTCTGATGATGAAATTCATATTCGACATGCATTATTTAATTTAATGGCAATACTAATTCTAACGGGCAATAATACATTTCTTTGGACATTTACTTTCGAACCACAAAAATTACATAAAACATACGGTTTTGGTTCAACCGCTAATCATGGAATTATGGCAGATGGTGTTCGATTGTGGTTGTATAATAAGTGAAAATGGTGATATTGTACAATTTTCAAAAGAAAAAACATCTACATTAGATAAACCAGCAATTTATTGTGCTATCTTCTCAACATTTGGTGCTTTGGCATGGCATCTATTATTATATGAAAATTCTGTTGAAAATTTAAATGGTCCAATATTATCAACATATGCAATAAATGCAAAAAATGAATTACGCTATCAGATTGTTGGCAATACGTTCACGTATATGTAATTTTGTACGAGCTAGATTACTTTCAACAATGTCATTCTTATCTATTTATTCAAATCAAAATGATGCATGTCTATTATTAAATCGATGTTTTGAACAATTTGCTATGTTATCTATTTCAAAGCAATTCAACTCTATTAAATCAGTCTATTTGACATTAGTTGATGTTCGTCTTGCTGAAACAGAATTTCAAACACACGTATTTTATAAAGTACATGAAAAATTACCAGAACATAAAAAATATATAAATTTTCTACAAAATACTAAAAGAGATTTACAAGTTTATATTGATGACATACCTATTATATATCATTATACAGATTTTGCTATGCAACTTCAAAATCCAAAAAATAATAGTAAAATATTTTCTTCATTATTATTAAATCGATTATTGAATTCGATTGATCTACTCAATATAACAACATTGATTTATGATTTAAGTCGATTTTATATACTTCTACATCAAACATTTACTCAACTTATCAGTATACAAACATTTGAAATAATAACATTAGCTGAATTTTTAACTATTGGTAAAAAACAATTTAGACAAAATGAAAATTTTTATGATAATATTGTACAGAAAGGTATTGAAGCTATTAATCGATATCATACATTTACAAATGGTTATATTCAACCTGGACGATGTAATTTAACACAACAATTTCAATCTATTACAATTGATACACTATTAACTTATTTAATGACAACACAAAACAGTGATGAAAGCGATATTATAATGCGTATAATTATTGTTCTTGTGAATTATCATAATGATTTACTAAATATATTGGAAACAGATATAGACGAAATTTAGGAAAATAACAATAGTATAATGAGAAAATTAATTGATAAATTTAGTACACAAATAATATCTATATCACAAATAGCAAGTAGTAATAGTATTACAGGTATAATTCATTTAAATGAACAAAATCGTCTTCAAAATCAATAAATAGCAATGGCATCTTTGACTGACAGTAATTCATTTGATTTTAAATATGTACAATCTTATCTTATCAAAAATCATCTGCTTGGTCATATGAAAATAAATTATCATGATATACATCATACATATTTATGTCTTACAAAAGATAAACAAACAATTAATAATGATCAATTGTACTCTGTAACCGATCTATTGTCCAATAATTTACACCAATATCAAATTGAAGATGATCATTGGAATTATTTGAATGATGTAATGCTTGATAAAATGTATGATGGTCTTCATGTTTTAAAACGTGTAGCATTAGTATTAAAAGATGAATTAAAAGAGCACACTAATATTGAAATTAATTTTTCATCAATGTATTTATATACATTTATTTCACAATATTTTCATCAACAAAAAACATCATTATTAGATACATTAAATAAATGTGAAATACAAGATTTTCCACTCTGTTATTTAGATCAAGTACGTCATATATTAGAAAATCGAATTAGTGGATATGAACATTTATTTACAGATATATCAGAATTGTTACGTGTACCAATTTCAAATGAATTAAAAGAAACTTTAGAACAGAATTTTCAACTATTTGTTAGTAATTTGAACTCAATAGATGATACAAAACAAAAGATGGAAATAATAACAGGTTTACTTGATGATTTGACACAAATAGAAAATTATTTATTAAGACAATCATCATTATCACTATTGGCTATTTGTAATATAATGAATAGTGATAATCCACTCGTACAATTCATACCAGATGATATTAAATGTGAAAAATATTTATTCATTTGTATTTTTTTTTGTACAACAACGTTCAAAAATGCAACAATATCTTTTAAATATCGAACAAGAACAGGATGATCGAAATAAATCTAAAATATGGTGTGAAAGTTTTATGGATAATGATAGTAAAAGTCGTTTCGCAAAATTATTATATCCAATTGATGATGTTAATTGTAAGGATTGTGATGATGATGAAAAATCATTAATTAATCTTTTTGATTCAAATGAAATATCAACACCATATATGACTTATCCGATAACAACAAATAATACAACAAATGATAATTTTCTGATGATAAATATACCAGATGACGAAACAAATGAAAATACAATTTTATTAGATAAACCTAAACGAATATTATTTGATGGCAAACTGAATACATCAACCACGATAAATAATTTGACGCCATTGGTTGAGATACGTTTCAAAACGGTTGATAAATCAGCAATATCATCGAATAAACTTTTCAATCTTTTAAAACAAGTTATCATGCCAAAAATAGATACAAACTTGTATAAAGCTAATAAATATTATGTACTTTTGCCTAATGGTGAACAATCTTGTTTTATTTGTAAATTGAATAAGTTTAGTGAAAAAATTCGACAATTACTTTTAAAATATAATCTCTCACAACATTGTTTAGTCGATTCTGATGGTATTGTTATTGATCATTTAGTAGAACAACATGCAAACGTAACTATTTCATCAAATTGTGAAATTATTGAAAAGTCGTGCTTATTAGATGTTTATATCCATTTTTCAACAAGTAATAACGTCTCAAAATATTCTGTTAAAAGGACAATCAATATTGAAGTTATTCTATTGAGAGTTATTGTCAATCATCCGGAAGAGACTGATATATCAAACACTTGTATCACTAATGAATACGGTTTATGTATCGATAGTGGAGAGATTGAAATGTATTTGTCTAAACACATTGACAATACAGTAAAAGTTTATATCAATAATTTGCCAACTATTTTTTATCAACTAGAATTTATTATACCACCTCCTATTCCAGAAAAAACTTCAATTTTGTTCCTTCTTCCGACAAGTAAATGGCAACAATCACATGAGTATTTGAAAATGACTATGGGAATCATGAATTTTCGATTTTTGAAAGAAATGTCAATTATTAATAATGATGACACAATTCTATCAGTATTATCTGATCATCACACTGCTACAATTTATGGTGTGTGTACTGATGATATTATTAAAATACGTCTTGAATGCGGTACTGAATCAATAATCGTTAATACGCTAGGATCAGTCCGATTATGTGACGTTCTTCAAAGACACTATCTATGTTTCAAAAATATTAATATCGAAGATATTACTCTTTTTCATAATCAAACAATTATTGATAATGTTTATTTACCGGTAATGAACTTTTTGACACTTTACTCATCTGTTGAAAATGACGATGTACTTATCTTTCAAATATTTACTTTAATAAGCGTCCAAATAACACATGAAAACGAAAACAGTTTTAGACGAATACCAGTAAGAGAAAAATTCATGACCGTTCGAAATGTTGTAGAATATCTCAGCGAACAATTGAAAGTAAATGAAATAAATGACAAGTACTATTTGATTAGTAGTTGATGGAAGTACTTGATGAAAATATTATCCTATCAAACATAAATAAAAATAATTTTTTTTGTATTAAACAAAGCCAAATATGCTCAGTGTCAGTTATATACGGTACTATGAACAAAGATAAAAATACTGAATTACTGATTGATATATCAGATGATTGTGACATGTATGTTGAAAAACGGCTAGCTCAAATGGCCACTATTGAAAATGTTCGACAATTATTTAGTGTGCTATCTACTCAAATTCTTATATTTGAAAATGATTTTGTTCCATCATCCGAAACAAAACTCAGTACACTTAATTCAATCCAAGTAGCAACGGCATTTCAATTCAAAATCGATGACATTAAACATTATCGGATCACAGTTGCATTGCTTAGCGATGAAACATTTCTTATATCAAATTTTTCATAGGCAATGAGCTATCTTCGTCATCACCGTGATGATCATCAACAATGATACCTTCTACTTTCTTACGATTTCCAGATTTTACAACCAAAGTAGGCAATGTATTGTGGCAAATATTTGTGTTGCATGTGATAACTTGGCAAAATCTAACGTTGTTAGACCACAATCATACGCACATGTACTACAAATAAACCAAGCGTCAACATAACGTACATTGATTAGCTTCTTTTTTAATTCAATAAAATAAATGATCATGACGAATCGAGGCTAAACCATTGAGATAATAGATGGTGGGTTTAGCCTCGATTCGTCCCTAATTGATTTCTCAATTCGTCCCTCGTAAAATTTTATTCTCAATTGATTTTTATTCTCATTGGTTTCTTGGTGCCATTGGTTTAGTATTAATATCAGCCGACATTGTTGAAAGTACTTGGACGGATATTATGGATTTATACACCCCAGATGATGTTAATGCTACTGAATTCAATGATTATTTAGCTCAAACCCATGTAGACATTAGTTTATATGGGATTAATATATGGAATGTGCATGATGCAATAATTAATGATTTACCAAGGACAAATAATCACGTTGAGGGGTACAATAGTCGTTTGGAAAGTAACTTTCCAAAACACCCACATATTTATCATTTTATTGAATTAAATAAATTTAAAAGCTGAATAATTTAGCCTATGCGTGTATTTGAGGGACGAATCAAGAAAAAAATTTTAAGGGACGAAATGAGAAGGGACGAATTGAGAATAAAAATTTACGAGGGATGAATTAAGAAATCAATTAGGAACGAATCGAGAGGACACCATCCCAATTAAATAAATATGAACACATGAATATAAAAATAGTGTCTCATACGCCACTGGTAATTTTTGTACAAATTTCGATTTCTTGTCCATAAACTATCTATTCTTAACAACAGCAACATCATTATTACTCTTAGAATTACGAGAAGTATTATTTTACTATCATTCTATTTATTAGCTATGTCTTGTCTCTTCAAATCTTCAAGTACTTTTTGATAAATATCATTGTCATCTTCTTGGGCACTTTCATCATTACTTTCACTATAGTAGGTCTCGTTTACATACCCCTGAGCGGTGAATCTCTTTCAGTTTTATTTCGCTGATGCATCGTTATAAGTAACTTTTATTTTTATTCCAGTTTTTTGAATACTTGTCAGACGTGCGTCTGAATAAAAATTCATTATATATAAATATATATGTTATAACTGAACGATTATCTTTGTATATGTTTTGAGCAGAAGTTACTTTTTCTATTGCATTAAAAATAAATTTTCTTCACCTATGAGTCCGTTTAAAGAACATCTTAATTACCGATTGGATGCATAAATAGTACATAGAGTTAAACATAGTACAGTTGACTCAAATTCCTACATTTCTATATTTTGTAAAGTCAAGCCAGTAAACATATTCTTCAATGCCTTTTAAATAAACTTTTTCAACTCATTTCATTCTACATTCAAAATAAAAAAATGTTTTTTTTATAGACAACTTAAAACTTTTTTAACTTAAAAAATTGTTCAAGTGACTTGAACAATAAACTAATCAATAAAATAATCAGCAAACTACTCGACAAAAGAATAAGTTTGAAAGTTAGTTTTGAAAGTTTTGGATGAACTTCATGCTTTTCCCTGAAAAAATCCAGATTTGCTCAGAAAATTTCAACTTTTTCTCTAAAGAAATTCATGTTTCTTCACGAGAACTTCAAGTTTTCTCCTAAAGAAACTATATTTCTCCACAAGAACTTCATGCTTTTCCCTGAAAAAATCAAGGTTTACTCAGAAGAATTTCATCTTTTTCCCTCAAGAAATTCATTTTCCTTCACACGAAGTTCAAGTTTTGTGATGGCTAAATCCATATTTTTCGAAAAGAAGGTCATGTTTTTCACTGAACATATTATGTTTCTCCACCAGAAGTTCATGTTTTCTCCTGAAGAAATCCACGTCTTTCGAAAAGAACGTCGTGTTTTTACCTGAAGAAATCCATGTTTCTTCACGAGAATGTCATCGTTTTCTCCGAAGAAATCTATGTTCCTGCACATCAACTTCATGCTTTTCCCTGAAAAAGTCGAGGTTAGCTCACAAGAATTTCATCTTTTTCCCTTATGAAATTCATTTTACTTCACAATAACTTCGAGTTTTCTCCCGAATGTCTTTCAATCAACTTTTGAAAATTTCACTAAGACGATTTTAAATTTGAACATTATAGAGACCCCATAATTCAGCTTTTTACTAAATCAAATGAAAGCGACGGAAAGATGTAAAGTTCCAAAACCTAGCTAGTCTTCTAATATGCATCGCATGATAACGTCAAAATTGGAATAAATAAAGGTTTTTGCTCCAGTTTTCTAAAGCGCACGGGCAGCATTACTCTCTAGTCCTTGATGGTAATATTACTCGAAGCAAATATTTTAGAGCGAAACTTTGGGTACAAAAGTTGTTCCGAATCCCCATCTGGATCCCCTCATCAGTGCATCTATCGGAGTTCTCTTTCTCTGGTTCTGAATTACAGAAATACTAAACTTTAAAAATTAATCTAAACACCCAAAAAAGAAATTTCGAAAAAAGCTCTTGTGCCGAACTAGAGAATTGGATTGTGAACAACTTTGTACCCACGCTTTTGTTTCAAAATGTTAATCTTGAGTGAAAGGTATTTCCAAAAACACTTCTCGCTTCAAAATCCCATTGCGCAGGCCAAAGTTGAATAACTCAGACAAACTTCATCCGGTAACAACAAAAACTTTTTTACCTGTACGTCTTGATGTCCTCTATGAATTAACATCAAAACCGAGCCTGTAAGTTAAAATTTGATAATTTTATTGAGATTCAAAAATAGAACTTTGAACAAATTACGACATAAAAACAGAAAATTTTTGAGACGGACGTTGGGTATGTCTTCGTATCGATATGGATTTTAGGAGTGGATGAGATCAAGTACAAGTTCTGTCGACTATTAAGTTGTATTCAAAGTTGAAGAAACTGCATGGGATCTACCATGCGTCTATTAAATCAAATGACAAATGTTGAATCAAATTCTAAAAAACATATTCGAAAATCACATAATATCTGACACTGAATATTCATTTGACGGAAAAATGCAGATTTGTTAGAGAATTATCGAATCTGTTAACATTTATGAAATAAAAGATTTCTAGCCAATTGTGAAATTGTAGGATTTCTTAAATCGATTTGTATTTCATCTCGTATAATATGAACGGTGTCGGTTGCATTAGTGGTAGGTACTGGATCATTTTGGCTAACAATTGTGGATGCATTGTTAACATGAGCAACAGTTCGGCTGTACACCTTTGACATACAAGGCGACGACAGAATAAAATCAGCTGTTGCTATTGTATTAGCTACAGCTATATTCCATACTTGTGCTAAACGTAACAGAGCTTTGACATCTGAATCATGTGGATGAGAATCTAGTGGATCAATAATAAATATCAATAGATCAAGTTGATTTTCAGCTATACGTGCACCCAACTGTTGATCACCACCCAATGGTCCGCTTTGAAATTTTGTTACTGGTAATCCCAATTCTTTTTCAACTAGTGTTCCAGTCGTACCTGTTCCATACAGTTCATGTTTTGACAGTATTTCACGATGTCTTTTTAAACATTCAATTAGTTCTTGTTTTTTATTATTATGTGCAACAACAGCGATACGTTTTCTAGCACTAATAGTAAATTTTTGATTGTTACTATTTTCAACCATAGTTGAATATTTGCTTTGAATAGATTATTTTGTGTGTGTATGCTACTTTCATCATCTTGTCGATTTATATACCAGGTCATCTTGGTTTTTTACTTTATAAAAATATAATGGAAAAAATCATTGCACAAACTTAATATATTTCTTTTCTTTTCACGTCTGTATTTATTTGTGTTGTTAGTAATCATCAGGCATGGCGAAAAGAAAAGAATTTGTAGTATATTTCTTTCAGTCACAAAAGGTACAGCCCCCAACGTAAACCAATATGTCATCAAAAAATGTTACAGGAAATAGTATCTCCCCCACTCTCGCCCTCATTCATGACCACGGAAGTATGACACAAAATAGAGACAGAAACACTTTCATGTCCTTTCTAATGCAAATAATAATGTGTAATACCTGTGTTGGGATCTTACAACTCTAATTACGCAAGAGTTGAGAAATTATTTTCTTTAGCATATAAATGAATAGCGACATACATACTTTAAAGTAAAACTTTAAGTTTTTCATACTTAACAAAAGTGTCATTAAACAATTTTGTCCAATTGATACTCTGTTAGAAAAATCAAAAATTATAACCATGTTTTCAGATGTCAGACTATTATTATCGCCATCAGATTAGAAAGGTATTCTGATCAGTTCTAGGGCAACTTGCTATTATTTATCAGATATTCGTCAGAATCTAGTCAATTGATAAATCGTTATTTTTGATCAACACTTAATCATATTGTTAAATGAGAATTTATCTCAAATAAAACCGATTAGTATAATCGTTTCGTCAGGTGGTAGTTTCTATTTGTCAATACATTGCATTTTAAGAAAGTCATCGCCTGAAAACCGACGTAGATGCTCTAATGCGGAGACAAAAAACTTTTTAACTTATTTATATGACATTTGGCAGAGTATTCAAAAAAGACCCCTAACCCTGCAATAAGTTTTTCTGAAAGTGTTTTATTAAGAAATTAGAGACAAAACATTCTACTGAGGGACACAATGCTTCGAGAAAAAGGACGTGAATTTTCATAAATTGTCGTATGTTTTGATTTTCTCAAAAATCATCAAAGTTCTATTAAGTGTTCATGTCTATTTGAACGTGTAGCATTTATTCTATTTCTGTGTATTATTATTGATATCATGTTAACCAACAATGGCATATCTTAATGCAAGTTGAGGTGACGTATATTATTTTTATATAAACTTTATCAATCGAACAACACAGACAAGAGTTGAATAACGTTCATTATCGGAGTCACTCATCCGAACATCAGTTGTAAAGAAAAAGCGAAAAAAACAGAAGAGGTGCATACTTTTAATTAATATTTTGTTTGATATCCTGAATAATTTTTTTTGTTACCGACATACTACCTGTGCAATCTAAACAAAAACAAACGTCGATAATTATATTTGAAGGTGAATTGCCACTACTTATTAAATATTGTTGTCGTTCTTCAGCTAACTGGTGGATTAAATCACCAAATGCCCGCACGTATAACTTTGGAGAGGAGCATCTTGCAAATCTAGCCATGTAAAAATATTAGCTGTAGAACATCTAGAAAAACCTGTGTTAGGTTTGCCAAATCGGTATTGAATTTTTAGCTGTAGCTGTTTCGATCATACCCAAAAGTCGAGTTTTGAAACTGGAGACGTTAAAGACAATTTTCTAGATTCAGTTTATGATGCTGAAAGCAAAAAACTTAGTTTCAAGCATTGAAATCAAAACGCGAAAAGACTACGGCCATTATTCTGAAACCTTGCTTTTTCCGATATTTTACATGTTCTGAGTTTTTTCGATTTTTGGACCGGTAAAAGTCTCCAAAAAAAATCGGCGCATACTTATTCGTGATTAGCGCAAAATTCGCTATCGAATGATGTGAAAAAAGACAAAAAATAAATTTTACTGAAAGTTTGAATTATGTGCACCTTATAATATAACAAAGAATAGTGATGAAAGGCTAAGTGATTATAACAAATATCTAGCACTACCACAGAAAAAATGTTTAGCCTTTCATATCGTGTTTTGACTGAGTTACAGAATTTTTAATAATTTATGTTATGCACGGTATAGGCAAAATAAAAGTTCATAACTTTTGAAAGAAGCGATAAAAACCCAAATCCTTTTACTCTTTTTACTAGGACACTATACAGTATCTATAGACAATAGATCAATCAAATCGGAGTTGGACATCGGGAAGGTCCCTAATTAGTATGTCAAGCTGCATATAAAAATCTAAATTTACATTTATAAAACGAAAAAAATCTTAGAATTGGCTGAATATGAGTAGAATCACTCCATGTGCAACTCGCAAACCTATGTAGGGCCTCTTTCCTAGCTAACCTCTTTCGATTGGGAATGGTATTAATATTTGAATCTCCAGAAAACTTTCGGGCGACTTTTGACTTATTATTTGTGTTATTTCTCAACACCTAGTATCAAAGTAATATTCATTGTACAATCGTTCAACATTGATTGTAGCATTAGTCGGTAATAAACAGGTGCTATTCCATAATAACATGAGCAATTCAGACTCGTCGCGCATAAAATTATGTAATTATATTTATCAACTATCAATCTATCCATTTATAATAGTTCAATGCTGTTTAGCATCCTTGAACTATTATGGCCGGCTAATCTGCACGACGGCAAGAAAAACTCTTCGTTATCAAGTAGAAATCGTCATCATTAGCATTCGTTTAATATGGACATGTATGATATGTGATTAGCACTATCATAGAATATTTGCCGTTGAAAAGAATCACAATTTTATGAATCACAGCAAACACTCGGCGTCAAGTAAAATTTTTTCAACTTGGCTAAATTAAAACTATTAAAGTGACTTTAATATTAAAGAAGTTTGTATACCGAATTTCTTACCTCTATATATACTTTTACAAATAATATATACAGTTGTCGATTATTTCTAACAAAATCTATAACACTAAAGATTTATTGAACATCACCTTTTGTACAGTTGGATAAAAATAAGAAATAAGAAATGAATCTTAATATTATTGGAAAAAAAATATTGTTATTACTTATTGCACCACTGTAAGTAAGATAACGTTAGATTAGTAATCTAAGTAAAAATAAGGTTTTTGACTATAGCTTTCGAATAAAATAAATCTATCAGAAACTTTTGGCTGAGGTTTTCTAGTTAATTTTATCAAGAAAAATTTCTTTTCATCTGTCAAACCTGCATTTTTTAGTTTAAATTTAATTAATTCGCACAGAATAGAGACAGAAACACTTTCATGTCCTTTCTAATGCAAATAATCACGTATGTGTAATACCTGTGTTGGTATCTTACAACACTAATTACGCAAGAGTTGAGAAACTATCTTCTTTAGCATATAAATGAATAGCGACATATATACTTTAAAGTAAAACTTTAAGTTTTTCATACTTAACAAAAGTGTCATTAAATAATTTTGTCCGACCTCATGTTGAATATCGCATTCAGTTTTTCTTTCGATCTCATTCTCCTACTGTTTTCTTCTGCCAACAGACTGTCACATAAATGGCTTGTCTAACACGGGCGCATATTGGATGAAATCGCCGAAAAATACCAAGGTGATTCCACCGAAAGACTCACTTGACTTGCTCTTAGTAATACACAAGTTTGAGAATTTGGAATAAAAGATGCAGACCAACCATTGACATCTCGTCAATGAACTATTTTTCTCTGATTCTACATATAGACCTATAAACTACTAACTCTGGGATCTCCAGACACAGACATGCTCTCAAAATTTGCTGAAAATTAGAAACGCCGAAGGAACGGAAACTAACACAAAAAACACCATACCGTCATGGCATGACGCAACCTCTCGAAACTCACACGCACACAAAATCCGAGATATATCAAACAGTAATACACGCCCTTTGATCTACTAAAAAACAGAGGTAACGGGAGAAATTCACGAAATCTCGCTAAGTACAGAACTAAAACAAACACAGGACCGCCAAACACCAGGTGTTCCAATCATACATTACACTCGAAAAAAGAAATCAGGCAAAACCATCCCCTACTATCAGCCCTCGAAAAAGTCACCTAATCAGAACGGCGCTCAATTGTGATTGGTCCAATTCATGAAAAATTAGGAGATCCCTACCCAGGACGTCGAAAACGGTGTATCTGATTGCTATTTAAGACGCTATTAACAAGCATTTAAATGGAATTTTTATGACATTTGACCCAGTTTTTAGGCCGTTTTTTGCCATTATAACTGGGAACGTTTAAATGCATTTATTTAAATATCAAAGAACGGTCAAATAATAGGCATTTAACTGCTGCCAGTGACCCTGCTGGTTACGTTTTTTCTGCCATTTAAATATCAGTTTTTAGACCGTTAGAAAATGTGAAAAAATATCTTCTCAAACCTGAAGTACTATCACCTGCACCGACCCAAGAATCACAGACACATTCTTAAGTTGTGTTTCTCTCAATTGGTGAAGACTTGATTATGACTTAAAAATGGTGATAGTACGATAGATTAGTCTAATTTTGGTCACGTTTTCAGTTTTGGGCCAAAAACTGATGCCAGAGTAATTATTTTAAAGTTCGTTTGACATGATTTGGATAGAGTGAAAAATTTTACACACGTCTGTGTTATTTAAGGTTCCAGACCTCACTTGAAAGCCAGCTAATGAGTCAAAAGTGGAAGAGGCCCAAAGTACCTTTTCTCAAAAATCATTGATTTTTTATTTTTCTTGAAGTTTTTAAGTAAAATAAGGAGATATTTGGAATCAGTGTCGAATTCTAGTTCTAGTGATGTGTCTTTCATCCATTTTTGAGAGGAAAATGTTTTCGATGTTTGTGAGGTCCCTAAAAGACCTCAAAATTTTCCCCAAAACTGGAAGTAGTTCTTTGAACTGAACAGGCCACTTTATTCAATTTTCGACGCTGATAACAGCTATGTAGTTCTTCCTTGAAAATTATTTAGATGAAAAATCCACTTATCTAGGCTTATCCGTATTAGTGTAATTAGAATAGGCAGCTCAACAGTGCAGACATCGTGCGCATCTGTAGCATATCGAATCAGCAGTTTTTCTTAAGGACCTCCTCCCCTCAGAAGCCTATCTCCGAAAGTGTAAATCTGATCTTGACAAAAATTTCAGAGAATGTTTGATATACCAAAGTATGGTGACCAAAAGTTTTTTTTATTCCATTTATCATCACTCGTGAGATGTAGGCGCAATAGCGGTCAAAACGGAGCTATTCGTAGCTCCAAGATTTTTCCGTCAAATTAATTGATGAAGAGCTCGAGACGATGTTAAAATGAGAAAACTCATGTGGCTAGAGGCCAATAGAGCCGGATTTTTGGTATTTTACTTTTCCAAAGAATGATAAGCGTCTAAAGTCCAAAATTCGAAAAAGTCTCATTAATTTGAACAAAAGAGACTTCTCTAACCGCAAATCTAGATCGAATATTAAAAATCACGCTCTATTAGCCCGTAGCCACAACTGTTAGCTTCATTTTAAGACCAGGCCGACCTCTCCACGACGTTTCGTTACCAAGAAATCTTGAAGCTGCAAAATACTAGATATTGCTGCAATCGAAAGTGTTTTTGCGTTTGTTTTTTTTATCAAAAGATGAAAGTTTTCGAAAAGACAGTTTTTTAAGGCTTACGGAAAACTTTTCTTAAAAGGTAGCCGAGATGCTGATTTCACCATGTTTTACCGGTTTTATCTTCGGAAACACAATGCAATCAAAGCGAATTATTCACATTAGACTCGCACCTCGAACACACGCACACTCTTCCTCTCTCTAATTCATTTCCACTTGTTACAGGGCTACTAAACTTTTAAGAAAATTGTCTAAGTTCGTCTGTGTATTTATCAATTGGGATCGACATGTAACTGGTATTTGATCTCAAAATAAAAGTAAAAGCAGTTAATGTTTTATGGTTTGCGTGTGAATATTACCGATAAGGTGACGTTTGCGTATGTGAAGAAAACATTCACGCTTGGACTTTCAAAGAATGTATATCCGTAGATATTATCGCTGCGATCAGTTCGTTGCTAGAGCCATTCTAGCATCCTGCGAATGAGGCGGAATGGCTGAGCTCCAATTCTCTGTGCATCATCCTGAAAATCACTAATAGCAACTTTTGAACTTTTTGAAACTTTTGTATAATAAAGATTGATTAGCCTACACAGTAATGAAGTCTATAGATCTGGTACATTTTTCCAATAAAGCAGGACGGATTTAGAAATTCTTATTCTCTCAGTAGAACTGCTGTGTATGTAAGCTGCAAACCAGTTATGATTCTACGTGAAGACGTCAGAAAAGCAGATATAAGTCGCAAAGAGTTTAACTTTGGCTTGTATAACGGTCTTTCGTTTCGTTCAGTCATTCACTAACGGTTGAATCCCTTGGATCTATCCACACAAAAAACAAGTATTTTTCCTTGTGTCACAGAGAGAAAAAATAAAGAAGTTTTTGAGATTGCGTAGAAAGAAGAAATATGTTGTTCTGTTACTGATATATATTCACATGTAAAGAACGTGCACGTACCAAGAGAGGGATTACACATTTCTTAACTTTTTTTGCACAAAAAAGACTTTGTACTGCACAAAAAGAGAAGTAGGTCACCGTTATTTTAGCACGTTGCACCCCCTCCGCAGAATAAATGAAAGTATCTCTCCACTCTACCAATGAGTGAAGAGATGACGCCTCTGTTACATTCTCTGCAAACTAAAATTGATCAAACCAAAAACCATAGTAAATAGTTAAATGAGAAAAAAAACAAGTCAATAAATAATTGCTACAACAACTACTAGAATAAAATTATGATTAAAATGATATTTAGCTTGATTAAGTAATTTGAACAGATAAATAAATAAATGAATAAGAATAATAACGAATAATAAATTACTAAGAATTAAAAGAAAAACTATTGAACGTATGTATATACAAAAAGTTAAATGTTAATTACTTTTTGTTCAATAGAAGATGATATTTTTATTTTATTTTTCTTATTTGCAATTTGTATAATGAGAAGAACGTTGACTCATGTCAACAAATATATCAGACTCATCTGTTGTATGTTCTTGATTAACACATTCGACGCAATTCGATTTAAACGGATGATCCATAATAAATGGAAAAACTTTGCATTTCATATTTTAATCTCTAAAGACGTTTTATTTAAAAAAAACAAAATATGCAACAAGACGCAGCGTGAAAAGCTCTACAATCTACAAAGTAAAGCTTATTTTAATGGTGTCCTCTCAATTCATCCCTTAAAATTTTTTCTTGATTCGTCCCTCAAATGCACGCATAGGCTAAATTATTCGGCTTTTAAATTTATTTAATAAATTTAATTTAGTAATTTAAACTTTGTAAAAAGACCAACACTAATAATTAACAATATATAAACAGCTACAATACCATTATGCCCACAAGACAAACCAATTATTCGTGAAGATATCATATTTTACTTGGAGTTGTTTTAAAAAGCTCTACCACATTTAATAGCCGGTTCAGCATTTGTTCCTTTTTTGTGTTCTTCATGTAATTCTTTTAACTTACTATCAATATTATTGTATAATTTTTTTCGTTTCCTTATTTGCATATCTGATTCTTCAGCTCTATGATGTTGATATAAATGTTCATCACGTAACAATTCAATAAAATGATAAATATGTGGGTGTTTTGGAAAGTTACTTTCCAAACGACTATTGTACCCCTCAACATGATTGTTTGTTCTTGGTAAATCATTAATTATTGCATCATGCACATTCCATATAGTAATCCCATATAAACTAATATCTACATAGGTTTGAACTAAATAATCATTGAATTCAGTAGCATTAACATCATCTGGGGTGTATAAATCCATAATATCCGTCCAAGTACTTTCAACAATGTCGGCTAGTATTAATGCTAAACCAATGGCACCAAGAAACCAATGATCTGCCTTTTTATGTTTCGGAGAATTTTGTGTACTCCTCTACTGAATATTCGTAACTTTATATAGGATAGTGAGCTTCTTTTTTTAAGCATCCTAAACGGTTCTAAATTGTAGCTGTTTATATATTGTTAATTATTAGTGTTGATCTTTTTACAAAGTTTATTAAATAAATTTAAAAGCCGAATAATTTAGCCTATGCGTGCATTTGAGAGGCGAATCGAGAAGGGACGAATCAAGAAAAATATTTTAAGGGACGAATTGAGAATAAAAATTTACGAGGGACGAATCGAGCCTAAACCATTTTAATTGTATACTGTTTGTTCAAAAAAAAAAGCAAAATTCCGTGCGATCAATTTTTGTTATTACGAAAAATCATTTTTTCTACCCGAACGAGAAATTCCATTTTTTTCTTCTTTCGTCTTTTTATCGCCTAATATGTCTAATATGTTTTAGTAAGAAAAAACAAAAGATGCAGCGTGAAAAGCTCTACAATCTATCAAGTAAAGCTTGTTTTAATTGTATACTTTTTGTTTTTAAAAAAGCAAAACTTTCTGGAATCAGTTTCGCAGCGATAAAAATTGATTGCACGGAATTTTGTTTTTTTTTAAACACAAAATATACAATTAAAATAAGCTTTACTTTGTAGATTTTAGAGCTTTTCACGCTGCGTCTTGTGGTATATTTTGTTTTTTTGATAAAACGTCTTTAGAGATTAAATATGAAATGCAAAGTTCTTCCATTTATTATGGATCACCCGTTATTGGAGAGTGGTGGGTCCCATCGCGTCGAATGTGTTAATATTTATTGTCGATGATGAATTATTTGATGGTGGTATTTGATTGGGAACATTATTATCCCGAATATAGTCTAGTTTGACCTACATTCAACAGAACAAAACAAGAAAAAGAATCTTAAGTGTATATGTAAATGACTGTTTGTTAGCTACTTACCCATTCGATAAATAATAGCTCGATGTTGCCAAAATTCAAGTTCATGTTGCTCTTCATTTGTGATTGGTTGACGTCCTAATAAACCATCATGTCGACCTGAATTAAAAAGAATAATAGCCGGTTGTGTAGTATCGATTTTTGTACTTCTTTCATATTTATCTGTAGTCTAAATGACACAAAGACGAGAGAGAAAAACAAGAGAAAAACATTCTTTGTCGAAGGAAATTTATTCATACTATTGTGATACCATTTTGTGTAAATAAATCACTTTTAGATGGAAAACCTAAATCTTCAAATTGATTCCAATGAATATCATCAAATATTAAATAATCAGCAGAATCCTTCCATGTTTTTAATCGTCACCAAATCATTCATTTTCGTCGTTCTTTGGGTGCTGTACCACTTGTAATTAAATATTAAAATCAATAATACAGACGAGATGTCTATCGATCACCAATGGATCATACTCTTTTGCTCATCAACTTAAAGGTGAAAAGATTCACGAACAGATCAATCGTTATCAGCAAAAAAGAGTTTTTTACTGTGAGCGGCAGCTGAACCAAGGATTCTCTTGTTTCCGATCAGCTGCTCTAATCAATTCAACTATCAGGATAAATGCAATCACGAAATAGTTTCATGTCTGTTCCTTAGCATATTTATGTTTCACCTTTCATTCTGACAGTGTTTTTCGTCGAAAAGTATGATTACCGTGGATGATCACTTTGAAATCAAGCTTTCAAGAGATCTTGTATTGAAATCTACGTAGACTATCAGAAAAATATAACTTCACCGGTAGCTGACAACTTTCTCGAATGCCCAAATTCATAGGGCATTCCAGCTAGGATTTTTCTCCGTTTACAAACTCCTGGGTGTTTATCCCACAATTTTACCAAAATGAGCAGAAGTTTGCCAAATGCTATCAGATTTTTCGAAAGAGTTTGTCAGAATATTGTGAAATATAACAGAATTATGCAAGAACATATAAACAACAATAACCAATTGATTTTCCAGAATTCAACTTTTTAAAGAAGAAAGAATTCTGATAGCATTTTCCAGTAGTCTGATAGTCTAGATAGGTTTCGGTGGAAGATCTCTTGAAAAGCCTGATTGATTATCTACGGCAATCATACTTTTCGACGAAAAACACTGTCAGAATGCACCTAACACCGCTAATTTGAGATTTTTGAGAATTCTGCAAATTAAGAAGTTTATAATAATTTATAACATGATCATATTGTCCAATAAATCTAAATAATATCCTAAAATGAATAGATTAGGAGTATAAATAATTATTTTTTAATTCATAAAGCCGAATGTCCGCCTGCTCTACGGAAAAATGCCCACTGTGCTAAATTCATTCATCTACTTCAATCTGGATTTCAGTGATAATACATCACCACATTTATTATCACATATGAGCATGGTGTCTATTCAGGGTACGTTCTGCGTTAGAGAGAACAATGCTAAATTAGATAATTCTGTTTTGTTATTGAATATTCATTACAATCGGATCATTTAAACTATATACACAATGCCCCGCTTTTTATGTTGTGAAAGATATTTATCAGGAGACACGATTTTACTATTTTTCAGAAAAAGTGGAAAAACCATTTACTAACCTCCTTTTCTGAACTTCAGCAAACGGTTTAGACTCTCTCTTTGACTTCATCGTGTTCGGAACATTTGAAAGCATATATAACGGTTCAACTTAGGACTTGAAATAAGTTTTGACTAAGATGCACCCAGGGCAGCCTTGCAGTGAAATTTATTTTTCGACACTTCATACACCATTCGATAGAGAATTTCGCGGTGATCACGAATATCACTTCCAAGGCT